AGATCCAGTCTCTGCAGAGCTCCATTGAACCTGCAAGATTCGGTAACTTTGGAATAATCCAAGTGAAGTCTTCTTACTCTGTTAGTGATGGCAGCACGAAAGCGTGAAAACCAGTCTCTGACGCTATCTATTCCTCGCTCCATTTCAGGCTTCGGGAAGCTTACAGATCCTCTTTCTTATAAATCTACTCATATACTGACGCGAATTGAACAGTTGTTGAGTAAATGAATAGTGACGCTGATGAGGCATTGAATACTAATGTGTATAAAGCAGAAGGAGCATGTCGGACTCCAAATCACACGTTTTCTGTACCTCGTCTGCGGCCGAATTAGGCAAGACAAATCACTCATTGCAACTGAGTTATATCGCTATCCAACAGCACGCCACAGGTATGCAGACAATGTCTACAATGTCAAATGCTCGGCCGAGGGTATCACCATCCTTGGCTGCCCTCTTGGCACCACACCTTTCGTGCAGCGTTCCCTCGAGAAGATCGTCAGCGATCACAAGCCGCTGCTCGACGCGATTGTAACCTTCTCTCAGGTGGGCCTGCATGGACCTGGCTTGCTTCTCCGCTATTGCGCGTCTCCCCGGCTAAACTACTGGCTGCGCCTTCTCCCCCCACACACCGACTTTCCCCTGCCAGCCGCCGAGAAACATGACGCCGCTATCATCACGACCTTTAGGCGCATGTTTCGCTTCCCCGGCGACTTTCCCAGCTCGATGTCTGCGCAAGTCCAACTGCCTATTCGGCTGGGGGGTTTCGGCCTTATCTCGCAGTTTCGATCGCTCGCGCCGCCTATGTGGGATCAGTCGCGGCCACGACTTCTGATGTCTCTAGCCGCTTCAGCGGAGCCCGTTGGATGTTTCAAGGGGGAGCCTCCGCCCTCCTTGACCTGCCCTGGCTTCAAGCAGCAGCTCCTGCCCTCACAGCGCTCTCGGCAGTGGTCGGCCCCTCTTTCTCTCTCCCCTCCCTCCAGGACCTCATCTCAAGACCGCAGGTGCGCCTGCAACATCGGCTGACCGACCAACTTCACAAGGCCCGCTTCAACGAGCTCTTCAACTCCCTCCCGCCTGAAAGCAGGTCCTGCTGCCGCCTCTTGAGCTCCAGGGGCCGCTCTCGTCTGGTTGGCTGTCGGCGGTCCCGTCCAGCGACCACAAGACGCTGAACAACTTCCAGTACCGTCTCGCCGTCGCCGAGCGTCTCGGCATTGCCCTCCCGCACGCAACCGTCATGCAGCGATGCACCTGCGGCGGGGAGGTTGACGAGTTTGGCGACCACTATTTTCTCTGCCATACGGGCGGCGAGCGGATCTTTGAGACACAACAACATGCGCAAGCTGTTTTTTCGCGTTTTGGCGGAAGCAGACGTGCCGTCCAACGTGGAGGCGCCCCTGCAGAGCCTCGGCATCACCCCACCCGACGACAGC